GGTGGGAATGAGTGTTTTTGAGACAGCAAGGTTGGCACAGGATAGAGCAGCATTTTGGGCTCTTGTACATAGGGTCGCTGTGAGTCGCAAGTGACTTGATGGCACATAACAACAACAACAACAACAACATACTTCAACCAGAAAACAGTTCTCAAAACAGAGCAAGGAAACAGGATCAGGAAAGGTATGCATCAGGGATGCATCTTATCTCCATACATTTTCAATCTATATGCAGAACAAATCATCAGAAAGGTTGGACTCTATGAGGAGGAATGTGGCATTAGGACTGAAGGAAGATTCATTAACAACCTGTGCTATGCAGATGACACAGCCTTGCTTGCTGAAACTGAAGAGGACATGAGGAATTTACTGCAGAATATCAAGAACTGTAGTCTTCAATATGGATTGAAGCTCGACAGCTCAACATAAAAAAACCAAACACAAAAACAAACAAACAAGAAAACCATCTCACCACTGAGCTGATTAGCAGCTTCATGATGGATGGAGAAGAGATTGAGGTTGTTGATAATTTCAGCTTGCTTGGTTCCACAATCAACACTCTTGCCACCAGAAGTCAGGAAATCAAAAGACAAGTTGCACTGGGAAAGTCTTCTTTCAGGGACCTCTCTAGAGTACTGAAGAGCAATGATGTCAGTCTGGAGACTAAGGTGCACCTGGATCAGCCTGGAGACTAAGGAGAAGAGTGCTGAACATACTATGTACTGCCAAGAGAATAATTAGGTCTGTCCTAGAGAGGGTGAAACCAGGCTGCTCTCTGGAGGCAAGGATTTTGAGGCTCCATCTCACCTACTTTGGACACAAGGTAGAGGGACCAGTCCTTTGAGATGGACATCATGCTTGGAAGAGTGGAAGGAGCGTGCAGGAGAATAAGACCCAGGCTGAGATGGATTGACACAGTGACTGGAGAAATGGGTTTAGGTCTGTCAAAGATTATGAGATTGCCTCAAGATAGGGCAGGTTTCAGAGCTAGTGTATGTAGGATCGCTAGGAGTCACAGGTGTCTTGATGGCACATAACAACAACAACAAACAAAATAAACAAAGGCTACTGAAAATAACCTTATAGTGTATCATTTTGTTTAGATATAATCGTGTATGTCTCTGCAATAACATTCCTAGAAATTGATTTGCATCCTTAACTGAGATGGCTACTGTTCTTGATAAAGTTTTACCAGTTTTCATGCTCACTGGGGTATGAAATGACATAAGAAACAGTGCCCAATGCAATAGTATCCACCTGGATTTGTTTTATTTGTCTAGTCATTTACCAAACATTGATATGTACCAGGCGCTGTGCTCGGTCTGAGGGAGAGTCTCGGAGGATTCGGGGAAAGTGGGGGACAGTGATAAGCTTGTTTTCAGCCCCACTTTGGCAGGTGTCCTTTGGAGAGCACAGTGTCATTTGCTGAGCCTCCCTTGGGTTTTCTGAAGTTGTAAATTGAATGGGAGGAGATTGCCCATCTTTCTTCCAAAAAGCCCGAATGCAAAACAGTAGAGTTAGCACACAGTACCCTACAGATTCTGCCCACAGAGGGCCCATTTTTTTTGTGATAGTTGCACATAAATGATTAGCATATGCTTTTATATATTGCATACATGTTTTATAACCTAGGAACATGTCCCCAGTGAATGTGTGTAGGTTTTACAGCATGTGTCCTTCTTCACACTGTCTCTTTGTCTTTCCAGCTTGTCTGCACCCCTACCCTGTGGCGAGTTTACGTTGTCATCATGCTAAGCGCCAATTTCCTTGTATCCTTCTTTGTGGAGGTGAGTACCCTTAGGCTGCAGATCACTCTGGAGTCTGGGGTTGGGTGACCAGGGTTAATCAGCTTTACCTGACAGGGTTTAACGGTGCAAAGGGCTATTTCCATCATCGCATGAGCCCTGATGGGGTCTAAACAAGTGTTTCATTTTCCAATCTGTTTAATGGGGCTGGAGAGAATGAAGTAAATGATCTCTCCTATTCATTTGTCAAATAGCCAAACTGAGACTCAGCTTTATTAAAGCTATTTTTTTAAAAAAAATTGAGTTGATTCACATGCCATGAAATCTATCCTTTTAAAGCGTACAGCTCAGTATTTTTTTCGACAAGCATCACCCCATCTGATTTTAGACCAGGTTCCTCAGCCTAAAAAACAGCTCCCTTCTTCATTCCCTTCTCTATCTTCTTTAAACCATCTATGATATGTCACTGTGATTTACCTATTCTGGCACAAGTGGAGTCACACAATAGGTGATCTTCTGTGTCTGGCTTCTTTTACTTAGAACTTTAGCATTTTTACTTCACAAATGGGGAATGAGAGTCAGTATGATGTTTTTGTACGTTTAATCTTCTGCTCCTGCTTGCTCCATTGCTTCAGGGAAGTGAGCTTGCTCTCCCTCTTCCTTCCTCTATGTAGTTCACTTAGGCACAATCTACATTCTTTAAAACCCATAGCTGGGCATAGGGCACCCTCACAAAGGCCTTCCTGGAGAAGTAGGCATGCAATGTAGAGCTCTATCAATCCATGTTGCTTCTGTCTGTTACAAAGCCAGGATGGTGCCAGTAGAATGGGTATACCTCATGGTATACTGTGAACCTCTAGAACAACATTGCCCTGCTGTATTTTTCTTAGGAGTAGCTCAGGGAAACTTCCTTAATAAGCAGGTGAAAGGCTTCCTAGAAGCTGTTGGTAGAATAGAACAGATGTAGGCATGATTCTGGAGATTTAGCAGGACCACATTGTTACTGATGTTGCTACTTTCACCTTTCTCTCCCTCTATTCTTAGATGCTGGCCTTTCCTGTTTGTGCTTGTTGCAATGGCCATGAGATAGCCTCCACAAAGCTGAGTGTGACATCAGTTTTTCTTATGAGATGAAAAAGGAAGGTCCCTGAGTCTCAGCCTTTTATCAGGAAGCAAAAAAATTTGCTGCAGCCTACAGCAGACTTCTTTTTATACCTCATTAGTTAGAACTAGGTGCCAGGGCTACTCTGAGGAGAAAGGGATTCTGTGTCAGGAGGTTAGGCAGATTGGCTCAGCCTATTTGTGAATTTGTTCCTCTGGGTAGAAGAAGGAAGAGTTAGGTGGAAACGGGAGTTAGTAGGATAGTCAAGCCATAAAGTTTTTCATAATCCAGTAGGAATCTGATTCCTGTGCATACATACCATCCGCTGAAATCCTTGTGTATAGCCTGTGTTTATGTTTCTTATAAAATGTATTTGCAATGAATACATTGTTGATGGTGCAAAATTCTATCACTCTATCTCCAGCCTCATTTCTGTCACCAAGACCATGTTTTCCAACTCCTGATCCTGTTTCTCTGTTCCCAACTTTTGTATTCCTGTCATCCTTTATTATTATTATTATTATTATTATTATTATTATTATATCTTTATTGTATGTTTGATCTATCTCTGACTGCAAAAGTTGGTGGAAATCTTCTATTTCCTCCACTTTGGTTCTGGTTGTTGGTGCATATATTTGAATAGTAGTGGTACATAGGAATCAGATTGATTACATCTGTGGAAAAAATCACTGGAGAAGCTCAATATCAGCTGTAAAAACTAGGCCAGGTGCTGATTGAGGAACACATCACCAACTATTCATATACAAGTTCAAACTGAAGCTAAAGAAAATTAATCCATGGGAAAATTAAATGAAATCCACAGGAACCAAAATTTGACTTTGAGTCTATCCCACCTGAATTTCAAAACCATCTCAGGAACAGGTTTGAACACTAGTTCAAATACCAGATGAGTTGTGGGAGGATATAAAGAATATCATCCAGGAAGAATGCAAAAGGCCATTACAAGACAAAGGAGGAAGAAAAGACCAAGATGGATGTCAGAAGATAGTGAATATTGCACTAGAGCACCGAGAAGCCAAAGCAAAGTATAGAAATCAAAATATTAAGGAGCTGAACAGAAGATTTCAAAGGGCAGTGTGGGAAGACAAAGTAAATTATTATAATGAAATGTACAAAGAACTGGAGTCAGAAAATCAAAGGGGCCAAATTTATTCATCATTTCTTAAGCTGAAGGATTTGAAGAACAAATTCAAGCCTCTAGTTGCAATACTTAAGGATGCTTTGGGCAGAATAGTAAATGATTCCAGAAGCATTAAAAAAAGATGGAAGGAATATACAGAGTCATTTTACCAAAAGGAATTGGCAGACACAGAAGCATTTCCTGAAATAATGTATGAGCCAAAGCCTGTGATGATGAAGGAAAAAAGTTCAAGCTGCTCTGAAAGAATTGGCAAAAAACAAGTCCCCAGGATTTGATGGCATATCAATTGACATATTTCAACAAACAGATGCTGCCCTGGATATATTCACTAAGTTGTGCCAAAAACTCTGGAGGACAACCACCTGTCCAACTGACTAGAACAGATCTATATTTGTTCTCATTCCAAAGAAAGGTAACCCAACAGAATGCAGAAATAATAAATTTCATTGATACCACATGCAAGCAAGATTCTGCTGAAGATTATCCAAAAATGACTGGACCAGCACATCAACAGAGAATTTCCAGAAGAACAGGCTGGGTTAAGAAGAGACCATGGTGCTAGGGATAGTATAGCTAATGTCAGACAGATCTTGGCTGAAAGCAGGAGTACCAGAGGAATGTCTATCTGAGTTTCTTTGACTATACAAAGGCATTTGACTGTGGATCACAACAAACTGTGGCTAACTCTGAGAAAAAATACTTGATCATGCTTATGCAAAACCTATGCTTGGACCAGGAGGCATTCATAAGAAAAGGGCAAGGAAACACAGCATGGTTTAAAATTGGGAAGAGTGTGTACCAGGGATGTGTCCTATCTCTATACCTTTTCGATCTATATGCAGACAGATTATCCAGGAGGCTGGGCTCTATGAGGAGAAATGGGAAATTATGCAGATAACACAACCCTACTTGCTGAAATGGAGGAGGATCTGAAGTGCTTGCTGCAAAAGGTTAAGGACTGCAACCTTAAATATGAATTGAAGCTCAACACCAAGAAAACAAAGATTCTCACCTCTGGGCCAATTGGCAGCATCATGATAGACAGTGAAGATATTGAAATTGATAACAACTTTAGTTTGCTTGGTTCCACAATCAACACTCTTGGTACCAGCAGCCAGGAAATTAAAAGACGAATTGAATTGAGGAAATCTATTGTCAGAGATTTCTCGAAAGTATTGAAGAGCAATGATGTCAGTCTGGAGATTAAGGTGTACTTGATGCAGGCCATCGCCTTTGCAATTACTTGCTATGCGTCAGAAAAATGGACAATGACTAGGCATGATAGAAGGAGAATTGATACTTTTGAGCATTGGTGCTGGAAAAAGTATTGCATATACAATGGACTGCTAGGAGAACAAACAGGTTCATCCTTGAGAGAGTAAAGTCAGGCTGTTCCATAGAGGCAAGGATTCTAAAGCTCCCTCTGACATACTCTCGGCATGTTGCAAGGAGGGACCAGTCCTTTGAGAGTGATGTCATGCTTGGGAGGGTGGAGAGACACTGCAAGAGAGCAAGACCCTCAATGAGGTGGATTGATTCAGTGACTGGGCAAAGAGGGTAGGTGTGTTAGAGATAATAGGATTGGCACAGGATAGATCAGAGTTTAGGGCTATTGTATATAGGGTCGCTATGGATCGCAGGCAACTCGATAGCACATAACACCAACAATAGTAGGAACCTATTTCTTTGCCAGCACATTGTAGCTAAGAGACAGCCTCTGGGAGTCTGACTCCATTTATTTCTTGCTATTAAACTAAGGGCAAGTTATTCCACTTTTCTGTGTCTGTAAAAAAGGTGATAATAAAGGAACTACATCTCAGAGAGTTATTGTGTAATGTGAACAGCAGAATATATACAGCAAATGTTTAATACATATTAGCTCTTATTATCATAGGGTCCTAGTGGTACAGTTCAGCTGCTATCCTTGAGGTTGGTGGTTCAAATTCACCAGCCACTCTTCCACAGAAAGATGAGGCTGGCTGCTTCTGTAAAAATACACAACTTGGAGACCTTGCAGGACACTTCTACTACAACCTGTTATGGTCACCGTAAGCTGGAATTCAGTCAGTTGCAGTCAGTTTTGTTTTGTTTTCTTGTTACTGTATTACCTCCGGGTCACTATTTCTTCCCTCTCACTCTTCCTCCTTTCTTCCTGCCTCCCCAATCGTTGTTCACAATGTGTAACTAATTATATGAGGGGAATGAGATGATAGAAGCATGAAGTTCCCAATATACAGAGAGAAAGGGGACAGATTATATAGTCATTTGTATATGCATTTCATATCTCTCTCTCCACTAATTATCCTGGCAAGAATAGATCTCAGTGGCTAGGGACTCTGGTGGCTTGGCTAGAGGATGTAGAACCTTGCTTTTTCCCAGTAGGAATTGAGTAAACATTTTTTTTCCTATTATTGCATTTAAGAATGGCCCTGCTCAGCCCCAGCAGATGGTTGGGTACAATTTGATGCTCATGAAAGATTAAGCTGCTGTTTTGTTTCTCATGTTGAGTGAGATGTAGATGGATATTCGATGTGGGCTCCCGGCAGCTTGCAGCTGGGCAGCACAGTTGCAGCGTGCCAGTACACATCCTGTACCCCACACTACAAGAGACAGGGTCTCTATGTGGACACCAGACAGTTGTCTTCAAACACTTGTCTTCCTCTTACTACCAGCAAGCTCTGAGACAAGCCAACACTTTTGATTATTTAGTGCGTTGGATTCATGCATTTCTTGTCTCATGAGGTGAGCCTAATAGAATATTTAAAGACTCTAGATTAG